TAGACTTTAGGTAAATGGCTTGGTTGGAACTCCCATTTCGATAAAACTCTTGCAAAAGCCCCACCAGCTATTTCGGCTTGTAGACGACTTTTTAGATTGTCTATGCATCCTGAAAAAAATTTAAAAACCGCCATACTAAAACCCAATTAACTTCAAAGTTGGCATGTCCTATATAATGGAGAACTAGCTCAACTGCGACTATGGAGTGGCTTCGAAGATATTTTTCTATTAATATTTTTGTTCCAGCAATGACTTCTATACAAAGAAAGTTTAACTTGGGATAGATGTGAAGGTCGGACTTTCTGATTCCATGACAAGGGAGACGTACTGTGAGTTGTTGGTTTTCCAAATCGCGAATTCTGGACAAATGTACAGAGAATCATTTATGGACTTCACATCAAACATGCAATTCCAATAGGCAGATTGACCACTGTGCTCCAGGTCGAAGTATCAGCAATCTCAACTTGGGCTAACAGGATGATCAATTTCAACTTTTTTATGAAATACTTTGATACACTTAGAACTTAGACAATGAGAAACATGGTCACACTGTGATCGGTACCATGTTACTGTGCAGTCACAAGAAGGATCTGTCTTTATATTTAGCATGGGAATTACTTTGTGGTATTCGTTGGTCTTCTCCGAAAGCCATAATTACTGCGCAGGTATACTCAGAACGCAATATGTTTTGGAAAACTTTAAAGGGTCTTAGACTGGCCAGGCTCTTTGACTATCCTTTCCATAGATTTCTTTTAACTGGAATTCAATTCCGACTTCTTTCTGTGCGGCTAAGCTATAATTTTACCGATCCACAGACAGGCTAATGAAGACTTTCCATATAATCGCGAAGTTGAATTTAAATTTTCATACCCAAATGACTATTTTAATAGATAATAATTAAACAATACGACCATTTTACATGCATTTCAATTTTAAATGATTATCCCAATGTGATCTGCTGTGGCATAGTACACCACAGCCTTTTATAGTGGCCGCTTTTACCCACATATATATAACCAACTGTGGCATAACTGACGTTGCCTCAAAGTGTGGCAAGTGGCGTAATATGCACTTTTCTATTCATTTGTGCTTTTAGCATTTTTACCTCGCATGTTCAGGCAACAAAAGCGAAATTAAGGCGTCCAAATGTAGAAAACTCGAAATTATTCACCCAAACTAGATTAAAGATACAAACCAATTTATACGTATTATACAATATGGCACAGTAAAGCATAGCACAAACACAAACACAAACAACTAATGTTAAGTATCTCCAGCTGGCCAGGACTTACTACCGCACATATGCACATAGTCAACCGCTAAATCGTAGAATGAAAGTGAAGGCAAACAAATAAACACAATAAATGAAATGAGACCACACCACAAAATGCCAAGACGCCAAGATGCCATGCCGTTCAAATACCAGCATCTCAAAGTGCAGTCAAGAAAAGCAGCTTCGGCTGTGATTATTGAGCTGAGAGTATTGAATTGCTATAGCTGCTGCTAAGTTACATATCGCCAGCGCATGCGCGACAGGCAATAATTCACGATTGTCTAAAAAGGCGTTGCTGCCGCGAAGTCGCTATATCGCTTATAAGTGTTGGGAATGAGACAAATGAGGAAAATTCGGAAAAATGCGAGAAACAAGAAAATCTGTATTTTATGATTTACGGCGTAGTACAGAGTGTCCACTAGTGTCAACTAGTGGGATGTATTGAGGCGTTGAGTGTAGGCGGTAGCGAGCTTTACATGTTCCTACACACATAGAGTGCATGTTTAAGGTGGAAAAATAATTTAATTTTGATAAGATTATTAGATATTTTTTATGGATAGTACATACAGATATATGTAAATATAAAGAAACATTATCTTTTATGACAGAAAAAATTCAGCATAAGTACTCGGACTGACTGTTAATGTTAGAGACTGTTAATAAAATAAAGTTTCCTAAAATTTGGTGTCCGATTTATCGAAGCCCGGACAATCCAGTGATCTCACTTTTCATGTTGCTTGCTGTGAGTTATCGTTAAAGGTTTGTCTCCATAAATTAGACCAAATAAACGTTGAAAATATTTTTGCTTACGAGTTAAGTTTCGAATTTAAAACTTTACTGCATAATAAATACTTCTGTTCCGAATTTCCATATTTCACCTCAGTACCTCAGTACCTCAGTACAAATTTTTGAGGAATAAAATGCTCTTGGGTATTTTTGGAATTGGCTGTGTTGTTAAATCGTTTGTCCACAGTAAGCTCTGAACACCTCGAAAACCCACAAGGAATTATTTCTATAATAGAAAGAGTTGCTTTAAGTCATTATTCTAATGAACTAATTACTATTCCTGATGAAGCCGAGGAGATTCAACAGTTCCACCTCCGCTACCTCGCCCACACTGTTTAAGAAGCGTGAACCTAAGTGCTTGAGGCGCTTCTTCTGTAAACCTGAACATCGATACAGATCATGCCATCATCCACATCATGCCAGCCTCTGCAGAGAGTACCTACTTGTTGGTATTCGTCACCGTTGAAGTATTGCTGCTATAGCAGAGTGTCCTGTGATGACGCCGGTAAGGACTCTTACTGCAGATCATTGAGTTTCAGTATGCCGTTTGTATTTTTCCTACTATGCCGCGGCCATAATAATATTGTGGACTCACAGCCTTCCCCTCTGTTCCGCAAGCCATTCGTCACGGCCACGGTGTACTGATTAATTTTCCTACCATGATCACTAAACGGTGGTAGTATGAATCTATCCGCTGAACTGAAAACGTCAGTTAAGTCAGACATCTGCGCAACCTCTGATTAAAATCGCTTTAGTCTTGTTCAGGACACCACAATTATTTTTAATATAATAAAACCATGCTTGGAATGAAGAGCTATAAAGTTTTCTTAAAGGTCGTACTTACAGCCTGATTTCATTATACTTCAATATATTCAAAAAATGTTTTAGAAAACATAAATATCTTGGTATAATTCGAACCTAAAAATAGGTGCCGCTGCTGTCGATGTACATATTTCTAAAAGTAGTATGACGTATACAGCCGTCGCATTTTGCAAGCCGGTTTTACGTTGGCATTCAGCCCATTGATAGGAGAGGGTCGACGAAATGTAGAGGTAGAGGAGCAAACCGTAGGAAACTCCATTGTACTCTTTCAATTCTGTTGGAGTGTTAATCTGACTAACGATTAATGAAGCGTTTTAAGTGTCTTCATTGGGGCTACGATTTTTTTTCGATTCAAAGCTTTTGTAAACGCTGGAAAAGTTAAATAACATTCCTCAAATAAAAAATAGTTTGGTTTTTATGTTTTTGGTTCGCGTTCACTTACCAAACGGTAGATTTTTAGATAAAATATTGGGGATATTCTCTAAGTCTTGCTAAACCCCTGCAGTTTCCCTATGGGAAAACTATGCAAACATTAAAATGCGTATACTTGCAAGGGTTTGGAAGACTTAAAGATTACCAAGACTTAAAAAAAGCGCATATTAAACTTGCCAGAGCAAAAAAATATACAGAAAGGCGTTTTTCTGAAAAATACTTAATTTCTTGAATTGAATTTTATGTAAAACGAATTGTTTTGATTCTCTTTGCCAGATATCAGCCAGTAGCATTGGCACTGAATTTCCACTATTATATGGTGGAATTGGCCATGATTCAAATAAAAAAAAAAATTTATAACAAATTTCGATAGAAGCAAAAAGCGATATATTTTTCCTAAAGAGGAAGCGGTGAGGTATTTAAAAATAAACGAAACGAAACACTTCGATTGAAGTGTAAACGACCTCCCTGGAACTCATCGTGGCAAGTGCGGCATTTGCGTGCTACAAAATTAAGCAGGGTATGGTTATAAATCCTGTCACTTGCCTAGGAGGACTTTGTAGAGAATGAATGAGTGAGTCGGACCTTGTCTTGTAGAAGCTGGAGCAGATTTTCCAGGTCGTTCTGCAATTGAGTTCTGTCGGTCATCTTTTATTTTCCTTCTCGCAGTAGTGCCACGATTTTCAGGTACATAGATAGCACTACGCACACATGCTGAGAGTAGTTGTCGTCAGATAACCAGCTTCCCTTCCTTGCAAGTTATTAACTAAATGAGAGAAGAGCTTGATTTATTCGAGCAGGTATAGTGTGGCCACAATCATGGATTTTTGGTATATGAGTTGGAGAAGTACTAGTTCATTTTCAATCAAGCAAAAGCGGTGGCAGCAACAAATAACCTACCGAATGCCCTTATTTAAACATCAAGAGAGCCAAATTTCAAGAATTTCAAAATTCATATCACAAAAGAGTTCATAAAAACCTAAATCCTATTTTCGTCTAAAGACATTTCCTTTCTTACTCTTTCCAGTTTAGAAATATTCGCTAGTTAGCATAACAGCGAGCGTGCACTTATGAGTTAACCGTCTACTTTTCTTGTTGTTGTCGGCAGTCAACAAGGCTGTTAAAATGACATAAAACACGCATTGCATTTTAAAGTCAAGTGGATCAACAACTGGGTGTCTCCTCCGCATGCAGACGCAATGCATTTGCCAAAATGAGTGCCACGAAATCTCGCTAGGTGCGTAACCATGTAATCCATATTATGCGAAGATATACTTAGGCGCGCGTGTGTGTGTGTGCGAGAGCAGTATTGCATGAGTCTGGAATAACAAGTTCCCGAGTAAGGCGTAAATGTAGGCGACTGATTTTGATTTGTTTTTTGCTTTTCATAGAAATCGTTATCTCACTAATGTGGCATATAAACGATGAATCAGGTAACTCCATTGCGGAGCAAACACTGCATGCATTAATAGGCAAAAGTATAGCAAATGCAATGAATGTAGCAACGCGCAAAGGTATTCGCCAGCCAACACGTACCACATTAGACACTCATGCAACAATTTTCATTTTAATTTGATAAATTTTTTTCTAACTTAATTTCTTGCAGCCTCTACTCGGGCCGTCATTTTGGCCACTACTGAGTTGCGTGTGTCCTTTTTTGGTGACGATTGTCTAATGTGGCTTTTGATCTAAATAATGAGTTGGCGCCTATAAAAAGTGCTTTACGCTTCACGGATGAATCACAGTGATCTGAAGTGATCTTAGCGAGCTGGTAATATTTACCAGACCGTTAAACGTAAACCAATCTAAAGGGGATAATAACTTTTGTGAAATAAGAAATTAGGCGGCGGTGTCCTGCTGTGCATCGAAGATTGGATAAATCATCATTCCACTGGCGTTTGGAAGCTTTAACTTTGCTCAACATGTTCAAATCGGTAAGTCTATGTACGCTTTGTGTTAGCAAAATTAAAAACAAAAAAACAAAACCAACTCTCTTACCCATCCAACAGTTGGTTCTTGGCTTGACGCTGCTTTCATGCGCGCATAATTCATTCGCAGGATTTCTTGGCGGCTATGGCTTAGGTGGATACGGTTTGGGCGGCCACTATGGTGGCGGCTATGGTTATGGGCATTATGGTGGCGGCTATGGTTATGGACATTATGGTGGCTTTGATCATGGCTACGCAGCGCCTATCATTACCAAGACGATTGCCGCAGCGCCAGTGATTACGAAAATTCAAGCCGCACCCATCATCACGAAAACTATAGCGGCGCCAATTGTGACAAAGACCATCGCCGCTGCGCCCATATCAATCGGACATGGCTACGGCTATGGCTTGGGACATGGCTTGTATGGAGGCCATGGATACTATGGAGGGCATGGCTTGTTGGGAGGACTGTACGGACATGGTTATGGTTACGGACATGGCTGGTAGAAGAGACAGCGAGTGGTGAGAGCGGTGTACGGCGAACTTTGAATGCATAATTTATTGTATTTGAGAGTTCAAAAAAAAAACGAAACGAAAATCAAATAGCAATACTGTAGTGGTTCGCCTGAGGGGTGTTCTCTGTTAGTATGTATGCATGACGTTGCGATTGTGGCCCCAACCTCATTTATTAAACACCTTTATTATAATGTGAACAGCGCTAATTTAAAGGAGTACAAATGCCTGAATTTGTTTGTATTTAATTATCCAATTATCACAAACAATCTTGTACGTTAGTAAGTACATACATACATACATACATATGTATGTTTGTATGTATGTAAGCAAGTGTGTTCATTTACGTACTATATACATATTTTTATTGATTACTCTAATTCTCGTTTAACGAATGCAAATGTCAAATGCCAAAAACCAAAATAAAATACAAACTAAAATATATGTACAATGCACTGTATGTATGTCACACAGAGAAAGTGATGTGTGAAAAAAGAATATATATGTATTTTTATCTATTTTTCTTTAATATCATCTTTATCCCTATCACTATATTTACTTATACTTTTGTCTTCTCCCTTATCTCTATCTTTATTCTATTCTATAACTCAGTATCAATATTAAAGTATACATTTAGGCGGCATTTCCGTTACTAACCATCTCCGATATAATCGACATGTTAATTTTTCAACTCAATTCCGCCGCGAAAGGAGCTCGTAACTGGATATTTTCTTGAACAAAAACCCGTATAAGAAGTCGTTTATGGTAGCCGCTTACTATTCAACTTTTTCGTTTGAAATTGTGGATCACCCACGCACAGTCGTAAACGGATCGGAAAAGCATTCGTATGTGCTTATAAATTACATACCAACAACTAGAAAACTTTTTCTTGTACTGACAAATTTTTTTTTTGTTTTATTGTTTACGAGCTTTAATTTAACTTTTTGCCGGTCGAGAAGCCCTCGTAAAATATAATGTTCGTAAAATGTACGTTTTCTTGCTGGCTGGGTAGTACCGCAACTGGACCGAATTTTATTGCAATAGAAAGCAACTTCTCCTTCCTTCAAAAACGATATGTAAAACAGTCATCCGCGCAGGTTCTTTTTCACCCATTGGTACTGAAGTAGTAGGTATCAACTAGTGAACCCGAAAGGCGTTAAAATGCCGAAAATTAATTTAACTTTTTTATCAGGTAGCAACTTAAAAAATATTCCACATGGTAGTCTGCCAAATTTCGTCTAAGTCCGTCTAGCCGTTTCTGAGTGAAGATAGGGGCCACATGGTGTCGATTTTTCCTTTTAAAAATATCAATTTTAGATCACTCTGGACCGCTGAAAAAAATTCTTTGTTCAAAAAATAAAACCTTATTGGATATATTTTAATAATTCACATATGTAATTGGGTACAAGCATTTTCAAGCCCATTTTTATTGATACGCATTTATCTATAAATAAATAATTTGAATAATTGTAAACAGGTGGCAACGCTTTTTTAACACCTCAAAAATATTCAAAGTGTTCAAACTAAAGATTTTTTAACAATATTTCTTTTGACACCTTGTGTATAGTTGAATAAGATTTCACTTTTCAATTACGTGGAAACCCTCTTCATATATTTTAAAACTGAATCCTTCTTAAACCCCTATCGTCTGACACCCATTCATATTTTAATAAACTAATTGCCTTAATGCGCTTTCAATGTAATTTTTTAAACAGGTGGCAACCTTCCTGCATGTAGTTTGGAAATAAAGCCTTTTGAAAACTATTTATTTATTTTATTTATGAACTAATTTGAATTTAACTTTTAAAACAGGTGGCAACCATCTTCACACACCACAAAAATTGTCCCTCAACTTACTTTTGCTCTGTGTGTGATGCTTCACACACATAAATTCTGCATAATTCAATTACATTCAACTTTTCAAACAGGTGGCAACTCCATTAGAAAATTTCCTAACTAAAAACTTATTAAGCCTCTCTCGTCCGACACGCACACTGTGATAAATATTTCACGGATCTGATTTCCTTAATTAAAATGGAATTTAATTTTTTAAACAGAATGTAATCCTCCTATATATGGTTCGGAAATAAGGTTTTTTCAAACCGATTTCGATGAATACCCATATTTTACTAATTAATTTAACTTTTTAAACGACTGGAAATTAATTTTCTTAATGCTGGCAATTCTTTCCGAAAATCAGCTGGTATTGGTGGGATTGTTCCAGTGCATAGATGCTCGGTGTTAGCGGTCGCGCCTAAACAGTTACAAGGAAGTATTGAGGGCATCATAAATCCCCTAATCTATATATTTAGGGCTAGTTATTGTTAGATATACATACCATACATACCGTTTGCTTTGAGGAAAGTATTCGTGTTATTTATTCCTAAAGACCCCTTGACTTATGGCGTCTTATTTTCTACTCAACACGCTTACCTTTTTATTGACCTCTTCGGCCAAGTACTCGTGCTAGGAAGGGGATAACTTTTTTTGTAGAAAAAATAACGCCATTATCTAAGACACCAACGCCTACTAAGTTAACTTCCCTTATTCTCAAAACTCTAGAAGGACTGTTAGACCTCCAGATAAGGTGAAAACTGAGCTCATCCTCCTCACTCAATTTTCGTAAATCAAAGGAAAATCAAGGTATTTGGATCCGTCTCAAACACTTTGAATGTGGGAAATATTGATTAGCTGTGATGGAGCCAGTTCGAGATCTACAATTGAAAGGATATTAAGCTATTAAACAGAAATTGCATTAGGCAACTCTCGCGTACTTAAGTGGTCACAACCAACTACGATTTCATATACACCGAATATGTAAGACTTATCGGAGAATCACATTGCCGACACTGTGTTAGGGACCATGAGGTATCGGAGCATAGTCTTTGTGCCTGCCTGCTAATTGTTAGACAAAAATGAATCTATGTATATATTTATCAATAGGCTAAATTGAATTTTGTCCGCCTTCGTTTGACGGTTCTACTTCACCAATTTTGAAACCAAAAACAAACATTTCAGAGATTTTTTATGGGTTCTAAGTTACGGCTCCAGTTGCAATTACAAAATAAATAGCGAAATTTTATGTAGTAGCAACATAATACGAATTCGCAGACCATTACGTCGACTAAGTCGAACTCGAATATGCAGACGGATACGAACACAAAAACGAAAATAATAAGAATACGAAGACGAAAAAGGAGATGATAACGAACATTTAAATGAAGACGATTACGAGTAGGAAGCCAAATTCGGAGATGAATTCAAATACGATGACGAAAATAATTACGAAGACGTATATCAAAAAGGATTCGAATACGAAGACGAAACTGACGGCAAACACGAATATAAAGAGGAATAAATACGAAGAAGAAGACAAATGCGAAGACAAATACGGAGTTGAATACGACGAGGAAGAGGATTACGCATACGATCCGAAGACGAGTACGAAGACTGTGACTGAAATGAATACGAAAGTGAATGGGAAAACTAATACTAAGACGAATATGTATAACTATAAAAACAACGACCAAAACGCCAAAATCTTCGCATACCAAGGCCCTTTACGGACTCATTAAGGGCTAAGGCTTACTTTATAGATACAAGAGAACTTTATGGCCACAGTTTCTCTTATTCTGCGACACCCCTGCATTTGCCTAACGAACATAAACGTAACATAAATATAGGTAAAAAAATATGTTCATTCTACAAAGCGAATTTATTTTAGCGCGATTTCTTTTATAACCTCTGGATGGTTTTGTACAGCTGTATCCCAAAAAAAATTTCACAAGTTCAATGAGTGGGCCAGTGTAGTCCAATATACTTATCTATTTTTATCCTTATGATCACGTCATAATTTCTCTGGTCCAAAATCTAAGAACATATTTACAAAAGATACTTTTTACACATAAAATTACTTCGCACATTTTTGAAACCCCTGAAAATTAAAACATCTATTTAAACACTAGGCATTTAAAGATTTTTTTTATTTTCAGCGGCAGAAATTTATACACAAACGATTTCATTGCGATTTTCGGCAAAGAAATAAGAAAAGAAGAAAATTACAACGTATCTACATAACATATTTACACATTAACGGAACGACTCTTAACAGCAGCACAAGAGATTCCCATCCAGGCGGCTCCGATTCCTCCACAGCGACTCACACTTACCAGCCATGACCCAATGCAAGACCATGACCCAATCCAAGACCATGACCCAATCCAATACCATGACCCAATCCAAGACCAGGTCCTAGTCCGTAACCAAGGCCTAAACCATGTCCCAAGGATGGACCAGCAATGGAGGCATGCGAGAGGATTGGTGCAGCAGAAATTTTCGTGATGGCTGGAGCGGCATACGAAATGGCTGGCGCATGCGAAATGGCCGGAGCGGCATAGGAGATAGCTGGAGCAGCGAGTGCAGCATGGCCATAAGAGATGGCAGGCGCTGCATGCGCCAACGAGAGGGCTGGTGCGGTGTGACCCAACGACAGAGCTGGACCAGAGTGCAGGCCACCCAGAAGAGCGCCGCCATGCGCGCCACTCAAGTATCCTGGTGCAGCTGTGACGCTAGCCACCAAAGCCAAGACGGCAACGACAACCTGAAAAGGATGCCAACAAGAGGAAACACAAATGAAAACACACACACACACGTAATGAATGAACACAGCAAGTCGAGGATGTGGACGCGCGATGAGTACTCACGTATTTGAACATATTTGCTGTTTTTTAAGCGAGATTTATATGCGATTTTGGTACGGACAGATTTCGGTAGCAACACGCGCGCGCAATACGGATCGTAGCTTAAGAACACGAAAAACAGTTTGATTCATTGGTGGCGTTGTGCAAAAGCTTTTATACCACTCAAACAATTTTTTTGCTTTGGTGGAATAGAAACTTCAAAATATTTTAAATCCGCCACCTAGTCGCAGGCACACGAATTGTGGGGGGGGGGGAGGTCGAGCGACGGCAGTGTGGCGGTTATGTTGCAGCAATTGAGAGGCATGCAGCAAACGCATAGCTGAACACCAGAAACCAGAGCCTAAGCTGCTGCAGAAGCTGACGCTAGCTGGACGGACAAAAAGCACTTTTACTTTTTTTTTTCTAACTGAAGTGAACCGAGTTGAACTGATTGCCAGTCGTTGCAAGTCAATGTGGATCAGAGTCGCTTGAGTTGCCCGAAAGGCCTGACATGACTAACATACACACACACACACACACACACACACAAACACATTCACATATTGAAAATACATGTGCATTTGCTGTGCCACAACGGCCAGGCCGGGGTGGACGCCTTTGTGAGGCAATGGCTTGCTTGGTCGTCGACGGCATTGTCGGCTCACTGTCACTCTGTCTCAGTGGCATACTGACTTGGTAATTTTAAGAGTTGCGCCTACCAATGGGTCAGCATTGAGGGTATTTTTTTTATCGTTGTTGTAACATGGAAATTGTAGGCAATTTTTTTTTCTAAAATATTACTCTTTGTTCAGCGTAACAGGTTGCAGGCGATTCCAGATGGCTGGTGGTCAAATAGGCTGCGCTTGTCACACAGAGCTAGCCATACAATTCGCTCTCTAATGAGAATAGGCGACTGATTGGCTTCTGTGAAAATTATAAACAAAAATTAATTGCAAAAATATGAGTCATACGATCGATTTTTCTAAGCAGTAATGGGAGTTTCGTTCGATTTTTTCACACCGATTGCCGCTTTAGCTAATCCCATGTGCATGTGTGCGCAGTTAAATGTATGTTAATGGAGATTTGAATGGCCGGAAAAGACTTAAAATTTTTCTGCTCATAGACACTCACTTACATGCATGTACATTGTACAATGAGAAATACGTAAATGAAAACTTGTATTTTTTAATTTATGAACTGATGCAATGGCAACGGCTTGAATGTCTTTTGATATCTAGTTAATGTAGTATAGATTATATAGAGGTGTTATACAACACTTGCCTTGCTTGCTTCTTGAAGTGACCGCCTGAGAAAAGTTCTCAGTTAGCACTGGTCGCCAAAAAGCCAAAAAAATAGTTTTTCGGTTTTCAACCATAGTCTATCAAAAGCTGGGTATTTTAAGAGGAAGTGGTGAGCTGATGCCACCCGTCGTACGCCAAGCAGCTGTAGCAATGTGAATACGGTGCAATACTTAATATAACCGCGTGGAGTCCAATCTGGCAGCTTCCTGCCAATTCACCAACCAGAATTGAGGGTTGTCGATTTCTTGTCCCTGGTCTACCCCCGGCTAGAAACGCCATGCGTACGTTTACATCATTTGCCACATAGTTTCATGCGGCATCGCTGCTCAAACGCAACCGAAGGGGAGGTGAGGCATTTCCTAAAGCTATCAGAATACATATTTCCCTCCCTAACCGCCGATGCGCAAATCTGCTGCCAACCGACTGCTTCTGCGAGACTTATGTTTTCTTTTAATTTTCGCGCTGATGTAAGGCTAGTAACGTAGTGACTCGTGTTATCAAATGTAAAGGCGATGCCTACGAAAATATTGCGAGTGTCCAGATGAAGCTAAAATCAAAAGTGGGTGAGTTCTTATGTGCCCCATTGATTCCAGTGTGGTTAGGAGTCATCCTATATGATCCCGCTGGCTCCGATGGGGGTGGCCATCCAATGAGGACTTCACTAAAACTTCACTATCGTTTGATAGAGGCAGGAAATAACTTTAGTGGAGAAGACCCATCTCATAGCTATTGTCCTTTGAACCGCTGATGCCATATTTACTGTCCCCAGTTTCCACGACAGCTTCCCTTCATGAATCAAATCCAAGTGCTTGACGTGAATATCTCCGATTGATATTAGAGTGGTGTGAGCAATTAATAATTCCTTGTGAGTAAACACGCCCGTCGGCCGCCGCTGTTCATTAGTTCCAGGTTTACGACCACAATCCCTTTCAGTTAGAGAAGACCACACAGTGGTGTGTCCCAGTTAAACCTATGATAGACAGACAGGCACTGCCCCAATTCACTTCAAAATAGACCATTTAGTATGTGATCTTAGGCACGCTCCTGAGAGGATAATTTTTAAAGCCACCTCGATGTCGAGAAGGCGCCTATACTGAAGAAGGTTTCCTCTATTGACTTCACTATCGTGAGCAATATGTTCTCGGCCGGCCAGCACTTCATTCATGCATGTTGAGCTCCTTACAGGCAATTCCTAATATGCAGATAAATCAGCCTATCTAAGGTTTTAAGCAGGAATGAAAAAAAAATCGTATTGCTCTGATGAAAGGTAATGAAAGATTTGGCCGGCCTTTGGTATAAATATCCCGCTGAGCCCTATGGATATACACTCGTACAATACAAGTAGTGAAGATAAAAGACTGCCAACGCAACGCCACCCCCAGAGTATTTTGCAACTGGACTGGCATAAAGCTGTCTGCTCCCGCTAACTGCAAAGACTTTCAATACTCGTTGCTAATCACCCGAGAAATCAACAAATGGCATATGGCAGGCTTCTTATGGGGTTGGGTGGCATGAAAATGAGAATCAAAGTGGAGCATGGGCGACTTCCCGCTACCTACCTCGTCTTTTAAACAATAACGCCATGGATCAAGACCCCTCAAAATTTGTATGCTTTCCATGGACGCACGCCAAGAATATCTCTCAACTTCTTTGATTTCTAACTTATAAATTTCTAGTCCAGCTTTGTAAGGGATTATCAGCGGGTAACTTGGTTAAGCTGGCTCATCTGCCCAACGATCCTAAACCAGAGAACTTTGTCCCTGAAGAATTTCAAAAGCACCTCTGCTATCCCTAGGGAACATCTTGTTTTTATAATAAGCGTTTAGCGAATTTCTTTTCTAAGTTTCAAATGTAATAATTTCCACCTTTTTGATGCCATAAATTACTATTAAGGATAAATACGTTTTAAGGAGAATAGGGAATGTGCATTGTACTTCATAACAATCCTATTCTGAGCTTTCAAAAATTTAATCTTACGCTGCATAGTCAAACTTCCAATGGAAATCTCATTACCTTATAAAAAATTCGATTTACCCGCTCACTACTACTGTATACCAGTTCCTACCACGCACGCAATACACTAATGTATGTAGCTCACATTCAGCTCGGCCACACCTTCCTTGATGGGCGGCAACGGCAGTGACGACGGACAGCTTTACTTTGGTATACCCACGAATGAATGAAGAAGTTTAACGATTTGCTGCATTAAAAAAGAGCGCTGGTGGCAACTGCATATTTATTTACTACTACATTTCCAATATTAGTATTGCAACGTTTTGCCGCCGCTTATGCTGCCACTGCTGCCACATTTGCCTCGAGTGCAGTGCGTGGTGCAAATTTAAAGCAATTTCGGCAACAAGCTAGCATCATAACGGAGCAAATGCAATTCAATTCAAATGGATTTTATGCATTCGGCAAGTAACAGTTCAATTTGATCGGCTGTAAAAGATTATCGCTGTGGGCATATACATACTTACATACTTGTGTAGATACGTAGGTACAAATATACATTTACATATGTACATAAGTATAGGCATACATTAACATACATACATAATAAAGTGCCCCTGATTGTCTTTACAAGTGCTTACCTATAAGCACAAATATGCATCTACATTTGTATGTAATCTGCAATGTCATTTAAGACTTTTGCAATTTATTTTCATTAAAGTAAAACTTTAGCTTATTTTAATGTATTCCATTTTTGTTCTTTATTGTCTTTATTTGGGCGATGCTATTACTTTTAACGAGCTTGCAGTAAAGTGTATTCCAAAACCTGACAGGTGTGCCTATTAATCGTATACAATGGTCTGGCCTCGAGTTAAAATATAAAGTACTATTGATAATGCAAATTGCCTATGTTTAATAAAGTTATGTACGAATGTACTCGTATCAAATCTTTTTCAATTAATTCTTACTCGTACGAAATTAAATTTTACACAAACAAACGAAACACACAAATTTTTGGAATGGAATTAAATTTTTCAATTTTTCATCTGAAAACATAGCCGTGGCATCACACATATATATGATATTGACATTATTGGCATCAACTCTAAAGCGTGCCAGAAAGGGGTTAATATAACAGTGAAAGAAAGTAAGGTACTTCCTGCTAACACATAATAAGTCCAATCCCGAACTCCTCGGACTTAAATCAATAAAACTTGTAAAGAATAAAATTTTACTCAGAGCGAGAGAGTAAGACTAAAAAGTACGGTATCGCTTTCTAGTAAAAATAATAACTTCTAACAACTATACTCAAAAATTTATTGAGCTACAGGCCGCTTTTAATGAAAACTTATTGTGGAAAAGCAACAATAATTTGAAAAAATGGTAGAAGTGATAGCTATTTCGGAAATCACCACATTTCCTCATCAGACTTCTTTCAGCAGGATTCGAACCGACGATCCCACTGACTCAGCCAGTTGCCCACGCACTGTGCTAAGTTTGCCTTGTAATTCTTGTTGCTTTTTGCACTATTTTCATTTGTTAAGCCTACTTCAATCAAGTGCAGCTATTCCACTGCAATTCACATTTGTCCATGTGGTTGTTGGTTTTGTTGGTTTTCGTTAATATTTCTGTCATTAGAATGTTAAACTTTTAGGTGTGCTCATCCTTAAGTTGTTTGTTTTTTGTTATTTTATGGCCTTATAACAATTTTATTCAACAAATTTATTGAGCTTGAGGCCGTTTTTAATGAAAAATTATTGTGGAAAGGCAACAATAATTTGAAAAATTGTGATTTCCGAAATAGCTATCACTTCTACCATTTTTCAAATTGTTGATGCTTTTCAACAATAAGTTTTTCATTAAAAACGGCCTCAAGCTCAATAAAAATTTTTGAATATAATTGAATAACTCAAAAAGTCATCGAGTGAAGGTCGATTCGATTCGACTTCAAGCGGCAGAACTAGATTTGAAAAAGTCTATTTTTTTCACCAAAAAGTCGATTTTTGACTAAAGTCAGAGTCGACCTTTCCATCCCTATTTCAACATAACCTCCAGATTTTACTTGTCAAATTTTGCTTATTTTGTATGTAAACACACTCAGCTCGCACTTGTATGTAAATAACTAAAAATACTTACAAATTCATTATGCTGGATTTCCACTGGGCATTAAATGGCAAAATTGTAATGTCAAACCTGGGCATTAAAAAATATTCTTGCTGCTACGTTAAAAAAACTGTCATTATTAAATTCATTTCCACATTGCATTTTTTAAATGCCTCCAATTTTTCATCATTTTAATACCTAGTGGAAATGCGGCATTAGAATCCACTCATACAAGTAAATAAATATTTTTCATTATGCATTGCAGAGTGCACGATTAAGTAAAATCTGAATAATTCTGCCTAGTTTGGACGCGTATTGGATCGCAACTAATATTGTGGCACATGTCACTGAAGTCAGTTCTAATTCTAAAGTAACAAAGGTCTTTGCACATCAAGGATTGGCACTTCGAAAGATGTGAACGAGGCGTACAAAACCCTTTGCTATAAAAGCTTTGAGAACACCACGAGCGCCATATTGGATCCGCCATTTCGAATTTTTGAAAACTTATTTCAGTTTTGTAATCAGCGACTCAAGGAAGCTTTGGATATCAAATTTCATAAAAATAATTTGAATTTTTGAAAACTGAAACGTTATAAAAATTTTAAAATGTTTTAAAAATTCATTTCCCATATTGGATACGCCATTTTGGATTTTTTTTGAAACTGACTTCAGGTTTGTAATCAGCGACTCAAAGACCCTTCGGATAAAAACCTTGGATGCGAAGTTTAATCAAGTTCAAAAAATCAAAAAGGCAATATTCTATTGACCAGTCAGCATTAAGGTAAGATAGGCCTTGAGGTATGCTTCTAATAAATACATAAAAAAAATTCCTGCTAAAACAATTAATTTCGAAAATCTAGTAAAGTAATACTACCAAAACGACATAAGTATGTAAATACATATGTAGTAGAGACCTGCACGAGTGATTCCGGTATCGTACGAGTACGAGTGCTAGTAATCTTTTTATGAGTACAGCGATGCTTTTTTGGAATCGTATAATCGCTCACACGATGCCGATTCTGCCGATGCGACATCGTAGCATCAAACGATTATTATTTTGGCTTCGCCGTAAGTGCGTCAAGTGGGAAAAAAGTTAAGCGAAATTCAACAAAATCACATGTTTGAGACATCGCCATTAATAAAGGAATAAATCAAAAGATTTAATAATTCTCCGTCCAAAGAAAAAATGAATAAATTTTAAAAGCAACCCTTATTGAATTTTTTATTAAATTTTATAATTCATATTTTATAATATATAAGAACATATTATGTTCTTCTGCCCTTTAAAATGCCCCATTTCAGACATGCAGGTATTTATAATTTTTGCTTTTCCATACGTCACTGGAGCCTGTTGCTCCAATCGCGAAATAATAGCCCGATTTTATTTTATTCAGCACTTCTGTTTTCCCGTACAATTCTTCTTTTTCTAATGCTTACACGTTTCAAAAAATTTTTAAGTTTTGTCCTTTTGACACATATTTCAAATCGAACTTTGCTCATCGTAAACGTCTCATATGAAAAGAATATCCGTTTGTTACCAAGTGAAACGATGCTTTGCCAACGATGTCAAATTTAAGTTGAAATATTCGCATTGTTTCTATTCATACTCGGCGATTATTAATTTGTTATATTTTTACTTACTCGTGCAGGTCTCTAGTAGTACATAGTGTTACACTTAGGTGGATAATAAGCGCATTCTCTTTAACTAACCACTCATACCCATAATACGCGTCCTATGATCTTAGAATGACCAAAGTTTCGTTGTTACTTTCAATGCAAAAACATACAAACTATTAACTAACTAACTCCACCTTCTTTTTAATTGCGATTGCAAGGTAATCACGACAAAAGTTGCTTGCAACAAAAAATTGTCCAACAAAATTTCTATGTTTGTAACATTTGCGTGCGTAAGTACTCGTATTTAAACAACATTTTGTATGTACTTATGACACACCTGTACTCGTTCGAAAGCATTGTATGTACTTGATTTAAATAGCATAGCATAAAATGAATAAGCGCAGATACCAAATTTTCACACAAAAAACTAACATTTTTGTAATAATGCTAGTTTGGGTGCTCAAACAAGTGCCCTGGGCTAGTCCAAGCAGTAATCATAATTGCGGGCCATGTATGTAGACATAAGTATGGCAGATATGAACATACTAAAGTCAGTAAATATGCACCAAATTTAAGTGCTACGCGCATGCTCGTCGAATGGGAGAACGCATAAACGCAACAAATGAAAAAATATTGCGGCTAATTGCAGTTAACTGACATTAAATATTTAGTACACTAAAAACAATAAAGGGTGCTTAGTAGGTACACACTTTATACGTTTTCTATTTTAACTATGTATAGCACCCACACAAAAGCGATGCACATGTTTTAGTAGGTATGTATGTATGCTGCAGAGAAAAGCTAAACCAACAAGAAAAAGATTATGTAAACAGCATTTATTTAGGTTAGTTTTTTCCAAATATTTTCGTCATAATTAATTATTTTATGATTTTTCTTGAGCACTGACTACGACGAAAAAAAAACAATTTTAGTAAAAAAATATTTATTTGCAGGATAGGCAACTTAGTTATCAACTGAGTAATTTTATAAAAAAATATAGACTTATTACATTTGCGATGCGTTTTCTCGTTGTTGGTCCAAAGGCAATTACGCATTTAGTTTAATGAATATTTTTGTGTTAGATTCTGGTGCTATGGGGGTTTTAGCGAAGTCGATCAGCCACAGACTGTTATCGAACATTTCCCCAGCTGGGCTGAATTTTCCATCTGTGTGACTAAAAATACTTTCCTTACCCATCCTAGGCACTGCAGTCAATACGCAAGATTTTTATCGTGGTGAGTGTAACATGATCTTACAGTATTTTCACCACGCCTCGTTAATCGCGCATTTCTTCGGGATGGCTGTCATTGATTTCGCGAAAACCATAAGTGTAATTTTACCTTCCGCATTAAGAAACGCAGCGGAACAACCCAGATTAATATTTGAGACTGTCACCTCAGCATCATTTCCAAAGACTCTTTGGGGAATTTTTGTACTATTACAACAACAACATCACTGATAGGGATTCATAAGTCAGTAAGCTTTTTATAGTCTCTTTTGAGGACTCTAAGTACCCTGACTCAGATGGCGTGTATCCGTAGATGCTAAAGTTTAGAAGAGACACGTAAGGTAGTCTTCTTTTCAAAAACCGGGAAAGACCTATTATGGGCTCGAAAAAGACTTCGGCCAATCAGTCTAACATCCTTCATGATAAAATAACAACTTGTAATAGATGCAAAATGAGGTATTTTCTCATAAAGATCCCTCAGAGAGGTGTGTATGAAGACAAAAATAATTTTCCACTCCAACAGGAAACAATGAAGCCAATGTGGGCTGTAGTACTACAATCGCAGTAGCAGGCATAGAGATTAGATTAGAAGGTTATCAGAATAATCCCCTTGGTTTTCGGCATCAAACGACAGCAGATCTTTGGAGTCTCTTCTGGAAGAAAGTACGTCGTTAATTTTTCTACAAAGAAGAAATAGAGACCTTTTCTTAGTGAATTCGGTGAAAACTTTCTGTACCGACATGTCCAAGATTGAAAAGGGACTGAAGCGTGGTGGATTCTGTAGATGATTTTTTGGTTGAGGTCTTTCAGTAGGAAGTCTTTGTACGAGACTACACTCCGGTGGAAAATAGAACAGGATATGGTATGTGGACTCTGTGGTCTTCAAGGCAACGATCTGGCTAATGAATGGCGGTAAGGGGCGTCCAATAGGACCTCAGCAAATTATAGGGTCAATAATAGCAGGTATTGCCAGGTATATCGGAGGTTTGCCATTGCCTGCCCAGGGGCGACCACTGTTAAGAAAAAAACCTTTTTTCTAAATTTGTTTGCGATATTGCTTTGACAAGGGATTGAACCCAGGCCCTGCGGAATGGAAGCGCGCACTACTTACCACAACAACACAGCGGTTCTTGAATTAACAACTTCAAATATAAAAACATTTACCAGCTCAGCTCAATTTATAAATATTTACAGGCCAGCACATCTCCACGCAAGTACTTAGTTTGAAAATTCTCAAACTTTTCTAGAAAACTGTTGTCCCATAAAAAACAATTTAACTGTTGAGCGTAATTTGTATACCACAAAAATATGTAGTTCAGCTTATTAAAACTATAGGATTACAAACTCACTTTACCTCCATCTAATCGGAGGCTTATAATTAATTAAACTTGCACAATTTTTTCTGATATGACACGCAATTAATTATGAACATTTTTAATAAATATCTAAACTACATGTAAACACATACACACATGCATACATACATACATCCACAGATACACAGATACGCGATTAAAGTATTTCGTGCAGTGTAAAATCGTAATTTATCGAAACCCATTCATAAGCCATGAAATTCTTCGCCACCATATCCCCTCAAACTTACATTTAAACATTTAAGCATACATAAATGCCATTGATAGCCTCGCACATAAACGGAATATCCGTCAAAGTGCCAGTATGCCACCATATCAGTCCACCGACAATTTGACCAGGCCAATCAAGCTGTAACTTGTCAAACGAAAATATTAACACGAAGTTGCAGGTTTGCACCACAACAACAACAAACCAATAATTGCTGGAGCAGCGGAAAATTGTTGTTGCCTTCGCATTTTAATTATAGCTTGCAACGCTCCAAGTGTAGTGTTGGCCAGAACTATGCGCATGTGATAGAAAACCCCTGTAGGAAAAACTGGAATTATATTGGTTGAAAATTTTCTAATCACTGCTCCCATTTGTATGTATGTCTAACCAC